GGAGGTTCCACAGTGGATGTGGGCAGGTGGGGAAACAGAGGCAGGAGGTGAAGCCCTTTGCTGAAGGGGTTGAGGCTGGTACCTGTCTGGGTGCTCCTACTGCCACCGGTACCAGGGTGAGACCCCGAGCCAGCTGCTGTGGGGGGACAGGGAAGCCCTTTCCCAAAGGACTGCTGCCACAGAAGTGACAAGTCCAGACCCTCCCCGTGGGACACCCGGGGAGCAGGGGACTCTCCTCAGGGGTGAGCCCCGGCCTGCAGCAGCCCCAGTGTGCAGGGTGGATTATCCTGAGCTCCAGCCAGAGCAGGAACCCAGGCACAGGCAGATTAAGTGACCCATAGGAAGGGTCAGGGAGCGGGTCACGAGCTGGGCCAGGAGCTGCACCTTGAGCCCCCAGTCTGTCTGCCCCAGGGGCTCAGAGCAGGGCCCCCCAGCCCCAAACACCCCCCGCCCTGGCCCCTGATTGCAGCACGTCCGGCCGGGCCCTGGGACCAGCTGCCATTTCTCCTGCGGTTTGGGCCAGAAATAGGGTGATGGAGCAATGCTGCCCTTGCCCAATGCTGCGGTGGGGGCAGGGGGCTCTGCTGACAAAGGCCCTGCTCCCTGCACTGCTCTTTTCTTTTTTTTTTTTCCCTTTTAAATAAACCCTGTTAGTTCAGCTGTGCCGAGAGAGAGGGGAGGCGGCCGCCACCTCCGCAGCCCTTGAGTCAGCCCGGGGGGCTGGGGCGTGGAGGGAACAGGGCTCTGGGAGGGCCAGGGGTGGGGGGAAATGAGGCTCTGGAGGGGTCGAAGCATGGGGAAAATGCGGCTTTGGGGGGGACACAAGCAGGTGATGACCCAGCTGTGGGGAGCCAGCCCAGCTCCCGAGACAAGGGGTGTCGGGGGCACGGTCCAGCTGGGTGAAGGCACTGGCTGGGCACCTCGAGCAGAAAGGATGTGTCCCCTGTCCCTCAACCTCATTAATCATCCTGGGTCTTGTTTGGAGAAATGTCTCCACGAGTGCTCAGATGCCGGGACCAGCACCTGTGAGCACCCAGGCGTCTGGCTGGGGGAGGCACTCAGCGGCTAAGCCGCTCTCGCCGAGAAGTCCCTGACCTCTGGCCAGGGATCTGGTGGGATTACAGCCCCGGGAATGCTCCCTGAGCTCTATGAGCCAATTACTGTGCCGGATCCCCGGCTGGGAGCACCCCTTGGCACGCCGGGCAGCGCTGCAGGGTGAGAGGGGCGACGGCTGAGGGTGAGAGAGGCGACGGCTGAGCGTGGGCTGAGCGGGGAGAGCCCTTTTCCTGGGAGGGGTCCACTGCTGACTCCCCCACTGCTCCCAAAGTCCTGTCCTGCTCAGATCCCCTCTTGCCTGCGTTATCTGCTGCTGGCCTGGCCAGGCACTGCAATCACCTCCCCGGCACAGCAGCGCCCAACCGGGGGCCCCAGGGCACTCCCCCTTATCTGGGAGCCAAACTGCCTCTGGGTGGGGGGCAGTGGCCCCCGGCCGTGTGATGACACTCGGGTCCCCCTTCCCTGCACAGGGGCCCCCTCGCCCTCCCTGGGGGCGGCTCATCCGCTCGGCTGCCTAATGCAATAAAGCTCTAATCAATATTTTAAAGAAAGTAAATGGACCCTCCCGCCCTCGTTAAGAGGCCACGGGGCCCCTGCTCAGGCCCCACGCCCCCAGCTGGCTTTGGGCTTTGAAAAGGAGAATAATCCACGGGAGAAAGGGGTTCAGAGGGGATCCCCCACGCCTTAAGCAGCTCCTAGGGGATTCAGAGGAGGTACGGGCTCTCTGCTCCTCCAGACCCTCCTGGAAAATCCCAGTTCCACCAGCCATGTGCGCAGGGCTGGTCTGGGTGGAGGGGGCTCCGGTTTCACCCACCCCCGCAGCCCTGCCGAGGTCGCTGAGTTGCTTTCGGTTTATTTTTCCCCCACCACTGCACTTTGAAACGCTGTATCTCGGGGTGCGCTGCACCACCAGAGATAAGGGCTGAGGTTTTCCCGCCTGTGTGCCACCGGCAGGGCTCAGATGTCCCCAACATAAGAAACCTCTTGTCCTACTAAAGCACCAGCGCCCCCCAAACCCCCCCAGCTGGCACAGCCTCCCACTGGCACTGTGGTGACTTCTTGAATCCTTCCTAAAGCAGAAATGGGGTGTTAAACCTGAGGCAGCCACTGCAGGACACCCCAAAAGGGAGCACCCAAAATGGAGAACCCCAGAGGGAGAGTGGTGGCTGCTGCAGCCAGAGGAACACAGGGAGATGGATTCCTCGAGCTCCTGCAATGTGGGATGGGGTACTGGCATGCAGGGTGCCTGTGCCTGAGGGAGCACCAGCAGCCCAGGAAACTCCAAAAGAGGCAGAGGCTGGAAACTCCAGCTCCAGGGGCTGCCACTCCACCAGGGGCTCCCACTCCCGGTATTAGCGGGGAGCAGTAATAGCAGTAATGAAACAGAAAGATCAGAGCAGGGATCTGGGGGCAGCAGCAGCAGAGCCCCCACAGTGCTGGGGTACAGAACTCCGAGCACTTCTACCCCCAGCAGCCCTTTGCTGGCAGGAGCTTGCTGGATTTTTAGCCATTTCCCATGGGGAGCCTCTTCCCACCCAGAAAATGCCCCCTTTTCCCCCCACCCCGAGGAGCCACGGTGCCCTCGGCAACCGCTGCCCCGAGTTCCCAGTGTGCTGGGGGCTCCTTTGTTCTGCTGCCCGCGCCGGCAGCGCCCGGGTCAGGCCGAGCTGACCTCTGCCTGTGCAGTAGCCGTCCCTGGGGACGGGGAGGTGCCACGCGCCGGCTCCCTAACCTCCCTCACCTCCATAACTCTTCCTCACGCCCTCCCCTTCCTCCTCCCTTGAACTGGGCCCCATCCTCCTGCCTCCGGCCCCCCACGGCTCAGCCGAGCACCAGTTCACAGGAATCTGTCCCAGATGGGTCAATAAAACCTGGCAGTGGAGGATGGGGGCAGCCCCTGGCTGCCAGGGTTTGGGTGTGGAGACAGGCACGGGGGCTTGGATGGCGGCACTGCCCGGTGAGGACGGTGTCCTCAAGCACAGAGACCCACGGGCTAAGGATGTCAGCGGCACCAGCACAACCAGAGCTGAATCCAAACTGGATCTGAACTCCCAGCAGAGAGAGCTGGACAGGCAGGGAGGTTAAAGGTTGGTGGGAGAGCAGGGGTGCTGCCGGTGCTGAGGAGCTCCTTGGCAAAAATAAAATCAACCCCAAAAGACACCATAGCAAGCAGGCAGAACACTGTCACAGCCACGCACAGCACCACATCCCTGCTGGCTCACCCACACGGAGACCCTGCTGTGCTCCGGCATCCCAGAGCTGCCGGGGTTCCCCCTAAGGCGCCTCCACCGCAGCGAGGAGCGGGGATGGGGTACGGCATCCCCTGCCCCGTGCTGCCCTCGCTGTTTACATTCCTGCTGCTCCTTCCCAGGCCGCGCCAGCTGGGCTGGGATGGAGCCCGGCGGCACGCGCTGGAGGCCGGCCAGGAGGAGCTCCCGGCCAGCACCGGCTGCGCCAGCAACCCCCTGGCCCCGGTCCAGGGGCCGCGATCCAAGCGCGGTCGTACGGGCTGACGTGCCGGGGAAAGCCTCTCCGGGCCCAGCGCGTCGCCTCCGCTCCTCCGCCCACGGAGGCTTTCCAACCCCCTCCGGCTGCTTCCAGCGTTCACCAGCGAGCAGGGCTCTTCCCAGGGACCCCAGCAAGCGACATGGAGGGAGCGGGGCAGGGCTTGGGGGGCAGGAGAAGTGCAGGGAACGTGGCTGGTGTTCCCAAGTGCTCAACTGTGATGGGGGACCTGGCAGAGGCTACGGCCTGGGCCACGGCACTGACACGCTGACGAACAGGAAGATCAGAGTTGCGGTATTGAAAAGCCTTTTCACAGCTACGAGTTCACGGCCCTGGCCCCTCGCTCCCCGGCGGCAGGAAGCACAAGAGAGAGAAACCACAAGAAGAGCAGGTAGCCTGGGTGCAGCGGCACGAGGGATGCGCAGGGCAGGAGCGTCCCTCCATCCCTACAGCTGGACAGGAGCATCCCTCCATCCCTGCAGCACCAGGAGGATGGCCACATGCTCCCTGCTTGCTGGTGCTCCCTCTGCCAACCCTGTTCTGAGCCTGCCCACATCCACATGTGCCAGCAGATCCCGGCAGCCCCTTCCCCCATTTCGGAAGGGATACGACAGCCTCCTGAAAGTGAAGGGGCAGAGGTGGTCGCATCCCTCCTGAAAGGCCACCATGCCCTGGCCGCTCCATCTGGGTCCCATCTGCTGCTGCTGGTCCTGCCCCTTCCCCCAGCCCCAAACTCTGATGTATTTAAACACACATCAAAGGTGCCGGGCAGCCCCCAGGGAGCTCTGGCTGCAGCACGTTTTCTTCTATCAGTGAGAGCAGACTGCAGCCAGCTCTGGCACCAGGAGAGTGGGAATGTGCTGGCCTCGTTGCCTGGGGAAGGCACTGAAGAGGGCAGCCAGGTGCTTTCTCCCTGGTTTCACCTTTTCATGGCATTTTGGCAGCAGCAGGGGTGCAGCTCTGCCCCCCACCAAGCTTCTATGGGGCCAGAGTTGTCCTGCCAGGCATCAGCTCTGTAGTGATGGGGATAGGAGGCTGACAGGTCCCCATGGAAAATGGCTTGGGGAGAGTGGAGAAGAGGAAAACCAAGAGATCCATCAGATTTGCAAATCTGGGGTGATTTTTTCATAATTTTCAGCAAGAATCCTTCTAGATCCCTGCAGCAAACCCAACTGCACTGCCTGCCTGTACCAGAACAACCCGGACACAGGATCCATTTAGAGTCACCCAGCCAGGGAAGGGGCGAGACCGAGCCCAGCACTAAAACCCCGGAGAAATCCCACGCATTCCTAATGACAACAGCAGCTGGATCCGAGGAGAACACTGCCGGAGGCGGCGCTGCCAGAGGCATCTCCCCACGCTCGTGAGGACACATGGGTTCGCAGGAGCGGGGAGAGGGGCGGCACGGCAGGGACACGCGTGTCTCGGAGGGCACATACCTGCTTGAACTGCTCCTCGTAGGTCCAGTCGCCGTGGTCAGGTGCTGGTGGCGGGGGCTGAGTGTGGCCCAGGCCGGGGGGCAGCCGCTCCTGTCCCCCTGGCAGCCGTGGGGGCTCCCCCCGGTAGTGCTGGGGTGCCGGGGGCTTGCGGAGCAGCAGGGATCCCGCACCCGCCCGCACCGCCTCTGCTGAGCTGAGCCCTTCCTCTCCCATGTCTTCTTCTTCCTCATAGTCTTCCTCTTCCTCCTCGTCTTCTTCTTCCTCTTCCTCCTCACCCAGGTCCTCTTCAAAGTCATCTTCATCCCATTTGCCCTTTCTGGAGCCAGGAGGAGAGGAGAAGTTTGGTCCCACGCTGGTTCCCAAGGCTCATCCCTCTCTCCTACCCGCCCCAGCTGCGGGGCTGGGACCACCCACCCACCCAGCACACAGTGGAGCCCCAGTACAGCCCATTGGTGGGGGCAGCTCTGTTGGGCATGGCCAGCCCCCAGTATCCCAGGAACAGCTCTGTCACAGACCTCTCCTCTGCCAGATGGCTCCTGGCCCTGCCCTGCCCTGAGAGGATGCATGCTGGAGACAGCCAAGGGTCCTGCATAATTTAACACCAGCCTGGGGTCCTCTGTCCCAGCCCCACGTGGCTGCTGGCCAGAGATGGGATGTTGCGCCAACCCAGCACAAGGAATCACTGCCACAGAGCCGAGCCACTGCCCTCAGCACCTCCTGCTCTGAAATATCCCAATAGCTCTAACCCACAACCTGCCCCAAGCCACAGGATCCCCACAGCCTCCCCAGCACGCTGTGCCCAAAGCCACCAGTGTTGTGCCACTTCCCTGCCCCTTCCCCAAACCCCTGAGAGCTGCCCGAGCACACTCACAGCTCCTCCTCCTCCTCAGAGCCCATCTCCTGCTGGTACCCGCCACCATCTTCCTCCTCCTCGCCGCGCTCCTCCTCTTCCTCCTCCTCCTCGGAGGCTTGGCTCTCATCCGACAGCCCCGGGCTGGGCGAGTGGCTGAGGCCGGCAGCAGCCGCCCGCATGGCAGCCAGGGCGGCCATCTGTGCCCGCTGGATGTGCGCGCTCTCAGGCTCCGCTCCCTCCTCCGAGGGCGCCGGTGCTGCCTCCTGCCCACGGCCCCGGGTGCTGGCAGGGAGCTGCCCCGGGGGCTGCGAGGGCTGCGCCGGGGGGGACGTGCAGCGCGGTGGCTGCTGCTGCTGCTGCTCCTGCTGCCGCGCTTCCAGCGCCTGCTGCAGCCGCGCGCGCTGCTGCCGCTGCAGGTTCTCCATCACCGCCTGCAGCTTCATGGCTCTGCCGGCAGGCGGGGGGTCCCCCGGGGGGCGGGGGGCGATGCACCCGGGGGGCAGTGCCCGGGGGGCAGCGCCCGGCAGGCTGCCGCGCTCCAGCGGGGCTGGGGGCCAAAGCTGGGCAGCGCCGGTGGGAGGCAGCCCTGGAGGGGGCTGCCGGGGGGTAAGGGCAGTGCCGTCAGGGCAGGAATTGACACCGGGTTAGGAAAGAAGGATGTGGCCCTTGACCCCTCTCAGGCTTGGTCCGATGTCTCCTTGGCTTAAGGGCTACGGTGTGTCGCAGGCTTGGTGCTGCCTGGTGGGGTTGGGGTGCTGCTGTTGTCAGGGAAAGTGTCCCAGGCAGGCTCCAAAACTCCTCCTCAGGCTCAGCAGGCAGCAGCTGGAGCACGGCACATCACCCTTTCTCTCGCAGACCTGGCACTTTCTGGGGGTGGCAGCCTCAGGGTCCCCTGCTCACAGTCGGTGTCCCTAATCCTCAGCTGGGTCAGTGTCCGGCAGGCGTCGGCGCAAACCTGTGGGAGAAGTAGAGCAGAGGGTCAGTGGAGCTGTGGGCAGGAGCTGGTGAGCAGGAAGGAGTTAAAGACAGCGCAGGAGCCTCATTAATCTCGAGCTAATGAGATAGGGCGGCCGGGCCTGCTGCTGGAGGGGGAAGGGGCCTGCCGGACCCGATAGCCCTGCCCGGCCCTGCAGGCAGCGGATACTGGTGGACCCACACCCGCAGATAACAGGCCCTGGGGAGAGACGTCCACCGGGTCCCCCACGGGGGACAAGGCACATCCCCACCAGGGACATACGGCATGGGGAGCACTGGGCTCCCCAGTGATGGCACTGGGGCTTGGGCAGCACTGGGGTCTACGCTGCACAGCGGAGGGGCCCCAAAGCACCCGGGGGCAGATCCCAGGGGATGGACAGGCAGAGCCTTGAAACCCGGGCAAACAGGCTCTGCCAACCGCTCCCAGAGCCCCCTTGCTCCTCTTCCCTGGGGGGCCTCCAAGGCAAGGTGGGGCTGCAAGCAGCTCATTTGTGCTGTGCCTCACTGGAAAACACTGAGGGGATCAGCACATAACACTTGGGCCCTGCTGAACCCCCATACTCCAGTCTGGACCTCTTCTAGCAGTGCGCTCCCAAGCCCCGGTGTGACCAGCAGCCCCGGTGAGGCCAGCAGCCCCGGTGAGGCCAGGAGCCCCGGTGAGGCCAGGAGCCCCGGTGAGGCCAGCAGCCCCGGTGTGACCAGCAGCCCTCGCTTCCAGCCAGTTCCCAGTGGTGACCTCGCCTGCACTGACGGCAGGGAAGGAGCTCACCACGGAAGGAGCTCACTGCAGCCCCGCGTGTACGGGCAATCCCCGGCTCAGCTGCCCGGGGGCACGCACGGCAGGACCCACACGGGGACTGACCGTGGGGCCAGACCCAGGGGCTGCGGGGCCAGGACAGCCGGCGGTGCACAGGGCCCGGCAGCTCCGCCACGATCCCGCGCATTCTGGAAAGAGGAACCTGCTGCCAGTGTGGGCCGGGGCCGCGGCTGGGCGGGCGGGAGCCGCTTCCCCCACGCATCCGCTGCCGGCGCGGCCGGGCTCGGCTCACGCCACGGACGGACACGTCGCCACCGCCACGGCAACCTCAGCAGCCACCGCCTCCACCGGGAGCCACAGAGGCGCGGCACAAGTGGGCCAGCAGCGCCCGTGCCTCAGTTTCCTCTCCTCCACTCGGATCAGCGCCGGCTGTCCCCCACGGAGGAGAGGTCGCGGCAGGGACGCTCCCCGCCCCGCACCGCACCCGAACCCCGTCCCCAGCGCCATCCACCAGCGAACCGGAGCGAGACCGACCCGGGCACGTGCTCCCCGCCGCCGCCGTGGCTCTGCCTGGCCGCGACTCCCCGGGTGACACGGTGCCAGCACCGCGCGTGGAGCTGCCTCCCCGAGCACCGCGGGCCGTGGCCGCGCCGGAGCCACGCCGCCACTTCTCCACAGGGAAGCCGGAGTGGCGAGGCCACAGCCAGGGCCCCGTGGCACCCCGGTGACCTTGAGCCGTGCCCCTTTGTCCCTCCGGCCGCTCGGGGCCACGGAGCGTGCCCGCCGTGGGGCGGTGACGGGGGTCCCGCGAGGGATTCGAGGCGGCGTCACCCGCGTCCCCGGGGCAGGTGCTCGGGAGCGACAGCGGCTAAAAATAGGCAGCGGGGGTGTGACGGAAGGCCCTTTGTGCCACCGACACCGGGGTTGGGCTGGCCGCGGCCGGACACCCCCAGGCGGGCTCCCGGCATTGCCGGGAAGGGCTCCGGGGGTGTCGTGGAGACTGAGTGAGGAAGAGGAGGAGAAGGACAGGGTGGGTGCCCGGTGGGTGCCGTCCCCGGGGACGGACGGGGCTTGGGACCCCAGGCGAACTGGAGTCCCATCCCCAAAACGGAGCCCGGCCCCGCTCCCGGCGGCACGTGGCACCGGCGGCTCTCAGAAGGACCGGGCACGGAGGCGCCGGGGCCCAAACGGGCCCTGGTCCCGCGAACGGGGGGAAACGGCGGCCCCCGACATGGAGAGGCGAGCCCGGGTCGGCCCGGCCTGGCCCCTCCGCCGTCCGGACCCCGGGAGACCGCGGGGCTGGGGGGGGTACAGGGCGGGGCCACGGCGCTCTGCCCGGCCCGGCCAGCAGCGCCCGGGGAGAACGGAGAGTGAAGGCCGGGAACGGCCGCGGGGGAGGAACCCCAGCCCCGCGTGGGGGAGGCGGCCGGTAACCGGCCGCGGGGGGAGGGGGCGCCGCGCTTCCGCCCAGCACCGACAGCGGAGGGCCCAGCCCACCTCGGAGAGCCGGCCGGTCCTGGGCTCCGGTCCCCAGCCCCGGTCCCGCCCAGCCCCCGACTCCCGGTCCCGGCTACGGCCGCGGCGGAGGTCCCGTTCTCGGTGCCGAGCCCATCCGCGGCACCGGTGCGGCGGCGCGTCTCCCTTACCCGGTGCAGGCCGTGCGCCGCGAAGCCGCATAGCAGCCGCGGCCGCCCGGGGTCGGGCTCGGCGGGGCCGGTGCGCGCGGGGCCCGCGGCGCTGCTCTCCCCGCGGGCGGGCG